CAAAGAGCAAAGGGAAATGCCACCTCCTTGCCCCTCCCCACGCCACTCCAGAGCTGAGTGGGTGTGAGAGAGACCGGGGCCATGAAAGAGAGGTATCTGGAGACGTGATGGGTGGAGCGTCAGGGAGAGACCTGAATGCGAGTTGAGAGTGTGTCCAGTTGGTTTACATCACCACAGTGTCACCTTTGAGACCTACAGGTGGTTCGAGGAGTCTGGAGACACAACCCCAAAATTCACACCCTACACACACACACACACACACATACACACACACACACATTCATACACTCACACATTCACATTTACATATAGATACATGAAAAAGCAGAACATGAGAAAAAGCATTTTAAAAGTTTACTCCAATGTAAACAAATATTTTTAATTGTCTATCACTTGAATCAGTATTTTTTGAGACCAGAAATGTTCATTTGAATTCTATATTGTCATGGACTTAATTGACCTCTGTCCTGACACTTTTGATTTGTTGATTTTGTACTGTGTGAAGTAATTACATTGATTAGAATTAGATCTGATAAAAACACAAATTAGAGAAGTAAACTGCGCTTGCTTTTGACTGAGGGACAGAAGCAACAGCATGAATAGAAATTGTGTTAAAGTAGAATCAAAGTGACTTAACCATAGAAAGTAACTATTGCATAACAAGCTGTGTACAGGAACTGAGACACTGCACCATTGACCAGAAGTGCATCGCAAATGACCTGATGTGCTTCAACTGAAAAGACTGTATCTGGGTACCTGAGTGCATCTGGAGAGAACAAAACCATGGCTTGGACCCTACTGATGTCCAAGATGACATCTCTCTATGACCTGACCTGATGACGACTGAGACTCACCCTCAGAGGACCTGAGGACCTGAGGACCTGAGAGAAAAAACTGGGGAGTGATGTTTATATTTTTAAAATCATACATTGATGAGTGCTAAATGAGAGAGATACTCATGATTCTTTCTTTTGTTTTTGTTTGTCCCTAGCTTCTGGACATCTGATGATCTATTGGACACAGCCATTTGCAGAACAAGAACCAGCCAATGAAAACGTCTATTGCCGATGCTATTGCTACAACCAGAACCTGTGACCAAATGCAATATACATGTTAAGTTTTCAGACATCTGACAGACAAAAACTTTGAAAATGATAAAGTATGAGTATTGTAGCGTTTTAGTAGATGTTAAATGGTAGTAAAAAAGTAGAATTTGACTTCCTTTGTTGTTCATAAACACATTTCCACGTAAGAGTTAAAATAGTACCCTACAATGTTATCCTTTTGATAGATCAGCTATAATATTAGAATCAGAATAATGTTACAGCCATTGAAAGTGACAGAAGTCACAAACTAGAAATATGCCTTGACTCAAGCTGCAACCGAGCTTTGGAGCCACAATAGTGTAAAAATAGGAATAGATAAATGCATCAACCATAGATGCTTTCAAAAATAGAGATTATTTGTAGCCAGTGCTAATATCAAATGGTAAAGGGACCATTTCACAAACCTTTGCTTCAAAAGTAGATAAAGTTCATATGAGTGTAGTCTAGATTAATGCCTAGATCAATGAGATAGATTACAACCAACAGAGATTCAAAAGCATTTAAAAGCATTTTGATGTATTTGTGTATAGCACAAAAACACAATAGTAGATATTTAGATATTGAGAAGTTTCCAGCACAAACACCATTGTAGAATAACTGACCCCAACCCCAAACCTGCTAAAATAGATTAGCTCTTGTAAGGATAGTTCCAATTTGATTAAAGATGTACATTCATCCCAAACTGATAATGAGAGTATAATACAGTATAGAGAGATTTGTTAGATTAAAATGTATGTTTAAGAATATGGCTCAATAGAATCAAATATGCAAACATATTTGTGAATAGATTAGAATAGTTTTAAACTATAGTGAATAGTAAAAGTAAAGTACACAGTCTAAGATTGAAAAGTGAAAACAATACAGTGAAATAAGTGAAGTGTAGTGTAAACAATTAGCATTAGAATAAAAGTATAGAGTAATAAAAGTGAAATTAGCTTCTAATTTGAGACTCAGCTTGTTTTTGTCTGTGTTTTGACTGAATCTGCTGAGTTCTTGTGTGTCCAATAGTGTTTGTTTGTTTTTATTTTTTATTTGTTTTTTGTTTGTTTATTTACTTTATTTTTGTTTGTTTGTTTTTTCCAGGATAGAGGATAAAATCCACTGATATGATATTTTTTAAAGTTTTTGTTTGGATTTTTTTTTTTCTTTTTCCACTTTATTGATTGATCAAATTGAATGATCACATGTGATTATGTGATCAAAGGGGAGGGTGTTAGTATTAGATAGCAATATGGCCTACGTGCAGGACTCTACAAGGACTCTACAAGGACTCCATGTTATGACTATGATGTGACTGTCTCTTTGTGACACGTATGTCTTTCGATGTGTGACGTGACAATGACTATATAAACTGTGTACTGCCTTTATTCTGTCTGAGGGAAAGAAACAGAGTAAACCAGTGGAACTTGAGAGAAACTTAAATAAACTTCCAGAGTTTGGCACACCACGATCCGTCTCTGTCTGCTGAATCCTGACACCGGTCTCTCAGGCCGAGAAAAAGGTGGAGGATGTGCGGCACACTGAGCCGCACATCCTCCACCAAATCTGTCAGGAATGAACCAGACAGAGACGGATCGTGGTGCGCCAAACTCTGGAAGTTTATCTAAGTTTCTCTCAAGTTCTTGTGGTTTCAATTGTTTCTTTCTCTCAGACAAAATGAAGTCAGTACACAGTTTATATAGTCATTGTTACGTATATAAACTGACACGTATGTCTTTCGACATACGTGTCACACAGAGACAGTGCACATCATAGTCAAAATAATCAGAGTCCTTGTATAGTCCTGCACGTAGGCCATATTGCTATCTAATCCTAACAGTGGCCACTTTCGATTTACCGGTCAATTCTTGTTCCCTCCATCACCTCTGGTCATGAGCTTTGGGTAATGACCGAAAGAACGAGATTGTAGATACAAGCGGTGGAAAAGAGTGGCTGGGCACTCCCTTAAGGTGTTTTCACACCGGACTCAACTTCAACTTCAAAAGCGTCAAGTTTGCACTGAAAATGAATAGTGAAGCGCGTCAGGTGACACTGAGAGGCCCGGCGTCACTTGAAGCGCGTCAAAAGACGCTAGCATCATAATAATGCTTGCGTCTCTTTTGGCGTCAAAAAATCCCTTAACGCCGAAGTTGAGAAAAGCTTTTGGAGCTTGACGCTGGGCTTCAACCAATCTGGAGACGAGGAGCAGCAGCAGCAGCAGCAGCAGCAGGGCTGTCATGTAGCTGCTACTGCTTTTTCATTGTCATTATTGTTAATTGTAAATAAAATTGTATGAATAGTAACGTTCTTAATAAGTAAGTAACACAATCAATGTACACATGCTGTGAAGTTAAAGTAATTTATTTAATATAAGAACAAGCTAAAGCTGGCTCAGACACAGCAGACTAAAAGACAGGGGCTCCTCCGCGGGAATAAGTGCGAGCTCCAGGCGGGAGCGAGAGAAGCTCCTCCCACCCGGCGTCAGGAGCTCCAAGCATCAAGGGGCGTTCACACCGGACCCAGCGTCAAATATTGCGCGTCAAGAGCGTTTTGAAGCTTTTGGTCTGAAAGCACCCTTAGAGATAGGGTGAGGAGCTCAGTCACACGGAAGGAGCTCGGAGCAGAGCCGCCGCTTCTCAACGTCGAGAGGAACCAGCTGAGGTGGCTCGGGCATCTGTTCCTCCTGAACGCCTCCCTTGGGAGGTGTTCCGAGCTTTCCCACCAGGAGGAGGCTCCGGGGAAGACCCAGGACACACTGGAGGGTTTCTCAGCTGGCCTGGGAACGCCTTAGGTTCCCCCCGGACGAGCTGGAGGAAGTGTATGTGGATAGGGAAGTCTCTGCTTATACTGCTGCCCCCGCAACCCGGCAACAGATGAAGCGGAATAAAATTAATGTGGAAGTTACAGTATATCAAAAATGGGAATTTTCGCGCAATTTTGTGTATTTTTTACCAAAGGGGGTACTTTGACTAATTATTTCTCAAAATTTCCACAATAAAAGTGACAGTAGACCAAAAGTGACATGTTTTGACCATTTTTGAGGTATTAAGGACCAAAATGGGTACTTTGATTCAATATTTTTCAAAATTTCCACAGTAAAAGTTTCTGGTCTTTGGTACAGTGGTAGAGGGTAATCCTGAGGTCATGAATCCAATGTAATAGGTCGCACACCTTTTTACTGTAAAAAGTTACAGTAGATCTAAAGTGACATGTTTTGACAATTTTTTGGGTATTTTGGACCAAAATGGAAAATTTAACTCAGTATTTCTCCAAATTTCCACAGTAAAAGTTCCTGGTCTTTGGTACAGTGGAAGAGGGCAATCATGAGGTCATGAATCCAGTAAAATTAGTTGCACACCTTTTACAGTAAAAAGTTACAGTAGATCAAAAGCGGGAATTTTCTTACAGTTTTGTGTATTTTGGGCTAAAAAGTGTACTTTGTCTCAATTTTACCCAACATTTCCACAGTAAAGGTGTGTGGTTGTAGACACAGCGTTGAAAGCAGTAGTGAGGCCATGAACCCAATGGAATAAGCCACACAAGTCTTTACTGTAAAAATGGACAGCTGCTGAAAATTTCACTTTTTGACCAAATTAAATGCTTTCCAAATAAGGGTTTATTCACAAAAACGTTCTCCTCAGCGCGCTTTCTGTTCGAGGAGAAAAGCTGACAGCGAAAGGCTGTTCCGCTATTACCGTAAGTCAACAAAACGCGCACTGTTTTTCTCTCAATGCGGGCCGTTTTACTTCGGAGGTCAAAGATGCGGCCCACTTTACCGCGGTCAGGAAATCCAGGCGGAGTGGATAAAAAGGGGCGGCTCCGTGTATGAAAGTACAGTACAGTTTTTCAAACCGCAGTGAAAGTAGTTAATGAAATCAGTTAAACGTGCTTTAGTGATTGCAGACAAGGAGTGAGATGTTTTGGGACGAGACTGAACAAGGGGATGCGGATGTGTAAGTTTGGGGAAAACTGGGGGACATGGGCCGCTTTATATGTAGCGTAGCATTTGCGGAAAGTGGATAATAATGAATGCATTACATAATTATGATAGTGTTAAAAAAAACATAGGGGCAAGCCGAAATTACAAAATTCTAGGCTTTCTGGGCTCTCTGCAACCTTACTTTTTTATTCTTTCTCAACACGGGTCAAAAACACAAAGGACGTACATTGCAAATTAGCCTTGGCTGTAAATGTAGTGCTTCACATGTTGATTGTGTACACTTGTCCCTATCAAAAGAATAAATAAATAAGTCTTGAGAATGTGAATGGCATTTCTTGCATGTGTGCATTTTGTAGTTCATGTTACAAGTGTATATATTTTTTGTCTTTTTTCCTTTTTTTCAGGGAGCCAGTAGTCCCAAAATGTGAGGATGCACTCACAACCATATTCTTACACTTCACCCTAATACCAGCTGTAAGTAGCTTTCAAGTGATACACATTGTTCCTAGTTGCAGTGTTGGTTCTTCTAAATCAAGAAATGCCAACTCCTGTATTTGCCTAATGTCCTCCGCTCTTTCAGGTGGTCATTGTGGGAGTGCTTTCTTTGCTCCAGAGAAGAGCCAAGACACATGCAATTGACCAGAGTCTCCCCTTCCTGCAAAGACGATTTGGTATTGTCATGTAAGATCTCCACGTTTTATTTCTTCTACTGAACCATAGCTGTAGTGTACATTGACGTTACTGGACATTCATGAAATACATGTTTTCTACATTTTCGTTTGCAGACCCATGGATGCTATGGGCTTCAGTAATCGCTGGTCGTATGGATTTGCGTTTGGGGCCATTTACTATAGTGTACTGGAGCTGATCTATGACCAACACATGACTAAATATTTTAAACCATGGGCCTTTGGTAATATATCATGTTCTCCTTTATTCTTCTATTGGCAAGGCAAGGCAAGTTTATTTGTATTGCACAATTCATACACAGGGCAATTCAAAGTGCTGAACAAAAAAAAGATAGCATTAAAATCATAAATAATCACAGTACATTAAAAAGAAAGATAAAAATATAAAATCCCTCAGTTGTATGCACAGCTGAACAGAACTGTTTTCAACCTCGTCTTAAACATTGTCTCACATATTGCTAACAATCTCTGTCAGATATTTTAGAGGAAGACAAGGGCGAGTTTTAGGCAACATTGACTAAAACTCTCGTGCTGCATGTGTGTCTGATGGTTGTTTTATGAATATTTGATGATGCACCAATTTTTAAATATTTTCTGTACAGAGCATAGGTCACCTGCTTAATTGCAGTGGGTAACATAAAAAAGTGATAATCTGATAATGTTCTGCTTTATGCTTGATGTAAATTCTTCCTTCTCAGCTATAGCGTATCTGATTGGAGGCTTTGAAGTGGGCATGGCATACTTTCCTTTGTTTGCCTGTCTGTCAACACCATACGTGAGAACTGGGGCTGTGATGGGAATATTCTATTCCATAATGTGGTAAACACATAATTATAATACAGAGAAAATCACAATATTCAATTGCTTTTTAATGGAATGCTGATTGTTCTACAGCCAAGGTTGTGCCCTGAAAGACTTTTTTAATTTGTATAATTTGTGTTTGCTTCAGGATTATCCTTGTCGGCTGGGATTGGTATACTTGCTCCGATGGGATGGTGAGCTACTTTTTTTCAAACTTAATGATGGACAATCAAATCTACAATATAAGCAGTACTAAATTATGTCTCATAACTTTGTGATGATGATTGTGGAAGATGAGCCATATAGAGAGAATGTACCTCTGTTGAGGTGGGGATGGGTAGGAGGAGGGGTTGCTGCACGAGCTGACGTGCTTTATTAACCCCAAAGGAAATAACCCTTTAGGTGACAGCCGGTTTTTAGAGAAAAGTATTGTGAAATACATGGTAACACCTTATAACGTAAAAGAAGATAGTGGACTACATAAATAACAGAAATACATAGAAGAAAATAATATACGAGACATTTGTGGGAAGCCATGTCATTGTGAATGAAGCCTTTATTAGTCCCACAGTGGGAGAAATTACACTGTATGGTATCGGTTAGCAATTCTGCTACTGGGTCCAAATTTGTCTGCATGCTCAACATTAGTCACATAATCAACAAAAATAATAATATTAACATAAAATAATTCTAATGGCACAAGGACAAATACTTATATCTGTCTATCAGAGGAGCATCGCTGGGACAGCAGCAGAGGGCAACAGGCATGGCCTGACCAACATACCACAGCGTTGTTTCACGCAGTGTAATCCTATGCTCGGACTCCAGGAGGTTAGACTACAGTAACAGCCTGCTAACTGGGCTCTCCAAACCGCCTGTAAAACAGCTGCATGTTTACGAAATGCTGCAGTATGAGTCTTGACATAGAACCAGCAAGTATGAGCATCTTTTCTGGTTTTGACAGTACTTTACATTACTTTTTATTTATATAAATGTATGTTTTGGCAGGAGTGGGGCCGCTACCAAAAGCTGATTTACCAGTGGCCCCGGATGCTCTCTCTTATCTTTCTCTTGGTTCGTTATGTCTTTGTGCTGATCAATGCAGTGCGGAAGGAGAACAATCCTGAGCAGAAAGTGAATCCCTTTTAATAATGCATTTTTTATATTTCTTATATAAATGGGTCTGATTTAATTGTGTCTTTGATGTGAAAAGCCTATGCATGCTCACCTGAAGGAGCATGTAAAGAGGCTGCTGAGAAGAGAAGCGGTGTGCAGGTGAGAGATGCCTTCACTTCAGTTTATGAAAGTGTAACAAAGTATTTTGTCTTAATACAGCCATTTCTAATTTATATTTCTTGTTTTAATGCAGCAAATCACTCAACTGGTTCCAGAGAAATATCTATGAGTGGGACCCTCACTTCAAGTTCCCCAACCGGATTATTGGGACTTGCATTATATCTTTTCTTGTCCTATATACGGTACTAGTAATATGAACTAAAATACTTTATAGAAATTGTCTTTAAGAATTAACTTATTTGTTGTTTTGCAGTTTGTGTTCAAAGATCTTGAAGTTAGTATTTATGCTTACAACAAGTGGTTCCAGGGTTTATCACTTGATTTTCTGCGTAAGTTTGAGATTGAGAAATGGTTTAAAGTCATGTTTTATATAACAAATAATGCTCTGTATTGCTGTTGCAGAATGTTTCTATGTGACCATTGTATCAGCCAGTCTCCACATGGGAATCTCAATTTGTCATGTGTTAGCCTGTTACAGGTGAGAATCTTATTAGGCCCGAGCCCCAACATGGGTAAGGGCCTGTTGCTTGTAACTGTCATAAGTGACAATGTCCGCAGCCCGATGGCACGTGCCCAGACACTACATCCATGCCAGAGGCACTGAATGGCCTTACTCCTGCTGTAGTGCTCAGTGAAATGAATGAGGTCCTAGGGAGGGGGTGGGGGACCTCATGATGTTGGGGTGATGGACGCGCTCATCAGTCACCGAGAACACAATAGTTGAGTTCGTTGTTCGGTTGCTTTAAAATAGCGCAACCTAGATATTGTGACCCCAAAGCCCAACGGTACGCTTGTAGCCTTAATTTGACCCCTGAACATGCATGAAAACTTGCCAAATTTATCCCAGAATTCAGAACTGGCCCCAAAAATGTTTTGGGGTGTTTGTTTTTATGGGACTAAAATGGCAAACCAGCGCTCCCTACAAAAGTCAGTTTACATTGCGCGTATGGGAGGGGGTAGAGCCCCAAAATTTGGTACACAAACTGGAAACCCATTAAATTCAATGGAAATTAAATGAAGACTGTTCATTTTCATACATGTTGGTTGGAAATCAACACTGCCTCGGCCGTTTTGCAGATTTGGCTATAAATCGCTCCACATCGTCTAAACAGTTGTACCACCAATAGTTGCTCGTAGAATTTTTATCAGTTTAATGTTACCGAGCAGCAGAGCGGCAAAATGTGACTTTTTTTTGTTCAATTTTTGACAATAGCAAATTTCCTCCTGTTTGCTCATACAAAGTTTAATTCATTGTTCAACTTCAGGCTCTAGGTCATTTGAAAGTGAATTAAAATTAAAATTATATTGGTCCGTTAGCCATTAAGTTTTACATGGGGATAATCATATTTAATTTTTTCAAAATGTTAGAAATGTTGCAAATAATTCTATTTTAGGTCTTTTGATTAAATAAAGCCAATAAGACCTAAGAATAAGACCCTGTTGCCATGGTGACGTTAAACACTCCCCATTCTGTGTCATTGGGAAAATTGTCAAATCACAAACAAAGTTAGTTAGTTTAACTAATTTGGCTGAAAATCGCTCCACATCATCGAAACACATAAACCATCAATAGTTGATCACAGAATTTGTATTAGTCAAACGGTCTGCGAGCGGAAGACTTCCAAATTGTCGTTATTAGGTGTGAAGTTCCCAAGTTTTCCAATGAAGACGGCACATTTATTTCTGTGCAGAAAACATATCAAGAGACTGTGGAAAGGACAAAAGGACTTTATCCCAAAGAAGTTACAAAACCTGGATCCAGCTGTCAGTTTGGTATGCTTAGACTTATTGTTTAATTAAATCCTTAAATATGGCTTTTTTTTTTAAGGAGCACAATTATTGTAATTTAATAAAAACGTAATATCCAATAATGTTTTTTGCAGGGCTCAATTGCAAAATACTCTGGTTGGCAGATTGCCTTTAACTTTTGGGGTAAAATCTGTCTTGTTTACGTTGTACATTGTTCCATTCAGTATTTTACTTTTTATCTTCTCTCTCCCTCTTCCTTATATTAGGTTATGCAATTGTCCGTGTCATGCATTTACTGGCTGCCTTATTTATCTGGTTTCAACTTGTTGTGCGCATAAAAACTGGTGAATTTTGGAGCTTTTTCCAATCAAACGATAGTGCCGGGATTGTAGACTTTGTTTTTTGCACCAGTGACGCTTTGATTGTTACAGTATTTAATAACTGCTTTCTCTTCTCTCATCATGTTGGTTTTGCCTTGATATTTGTAATTTTCAAGCTCCAATTGGCTTCACTTGCGTGTAATAACCAAGCCCCTGCGAGGTGTGTCAAAAGAGATTTGTGTGTAAAATGAGAACCTGTGCGTAGCATTTAGGCTTTTTTTCGTTCTTCTCTTCGTACAACGTGGTTATTTACCTGGGTACACACGCACACAATCCAAGTTACACTTGTGAATCTGCGAAGGCAGGACTGTGTCAAAAGATCTGTGTGTAAGAAAAAGACTTGTGTGTAAAACATACTTTTTTTTTTTACACACACACAGATCTAGCTACGCACACACAAATCTTGTTACGCACATGCAAATCTATTTACACATGCACAAATATTTTTTCTACACACACACAAATCTGGATACGCACGCAAAGATTTTTTTTACGCACACACAAATATTATTGAAACAATAATAGCTCCATATCTAATCTGCATATTGATACAACAGTCCTGTGACATGGGATGGATTATCACAGCAAAAGTGTTCACAAACAGAATTAAACAGAATAATATGTTTATTGAAATGGGTCTATTTTACACATAGACACGAGCAAGAGCATTTTGAAGTATAATCTTTGTACAGCATATTTTTACAGTAATATTTGCACATTTTAGTCAAAGAATGGCACGGTTTTTTAAGCAATTGTGTGTCGGGGTACCAGATGTCATAGTGACCAGAATATGTTAGGTCTGACAACTGACCTAATATATTACTATTTTATACACAAAACAAAACACAAAGACTCACACACATGTCCAGGACACATCAAACTAAAAATTGTCCAACTAAAAATAGAAATGCTTTGAACAATTATTTAAGATTGTCCACAGAACTCCTCCAGATTATCCTTAAGATCCTCTCTTTTTTATAGATGTATTCTTAATCTGAAAAATAATGTACATGATGGCCACATTGTTTATGTTAACATCAGCTTTGAGAATGGTTTCGGGCTCTGCACTAACTTTACTATTTTATTCCAACAAGTCGTTGTAGTTTCTCACTTTTTCCCACTGGGTTTTTTAAGAGTTTTTCCTTGTCGATGCAGGAGGGTCTTGTTGGACAGTTAGTGTCCAACAGAAAGGATTGGTGATGATCAGGACACTTTAGCATTCTACAACATGTATGGACATTTTCTTCTGTGTGTGCTTTATACTGTATTCTTCATGTGTTTTAACTGTTGAGTCTCTGATCTGTGTTGGTGATTTCAATGGTTTTGTTAAGTCCTCTGAGATGACTTCTGTTGTGACCTAGGGCTATACAAGAATAAATTGTATTGTATTGTGTATTGTATTAGGGCGACAGTAGCTCAGTTGGTAGAGCATTGGCCTTTGGGCCTGAAGGTCGTGGGTTCAAGCCCACCATAAGACCTACTTCATGACTCCCACTGATGACTGCTGTCGTTGTGTCCTTGGGCAAGACACCTAACCCTACTTTGCCCAAAGCCCCAACTGAAAGATCTCAGCTCCTGTGGACTCACCACCTGCAGGAGGATCAGTGAGGGGCTGGTGCTAAGTGTACTGGGTGCAGCTCTGACTGCCACCCCCCAACCCAGAAATGGACTAAGGGGAAGAAAATGGATGGATGGATGGATGTATTGTATTGTAAGTCCAACAAGATCCTTTTGGTCCACTGATTCTACATAGATTTTGTTTGTACCTGACAGTTTCAACTGCTGGCACCATCTGTAGTCAGGAATTTGTGGGGGACAGAATCCCAGGTGTGTGAGAGTAAAAAAGCCCCCTCTTCCTGATATATAGTCCTAAAAATAATGGTAATGCATGGGACGATTTTGCCCTCCAGCCTGTGCCTTAAGAACCCCGTCCCAACACACAATTGCACTGTAAAGGAAAGACTACGTTGCACCATAGACCATAGAGGAGATGAAAAATGAACTACAATGATTATGTTAAGACATTTTATTTAGTAGGTTTAAAACCTTTAATGACATTTCCCCTTCCTGAACAGAAATTAATATATTTTCCAACAGGATGTAGTAACAGCTGGAAAAACTCCATAACAGCATAGAGTATGTCTCCAACATGTGTCCAATATTATGGATATCAGAACATCCCACAGCCCACAAACTCTATAGAAGAAACACTTTTTGAGTGTCAAATAATGTTATCTACAAACTACAAAATCATGAAATAAAACAAACATTGGGGAAACAGGGATGTGAGAAGGAACGCCAAAGGTAGGCCATCTCCGACCACTGTAAAAGAGAGAACCACATTATGGATTGGAACCAAACAAATATCATATAGGGACGGAGGACAACAAACACGACACTGGATCAATGAGGCAATATAAATACGGAAGCGTATCTCGTGGACTGTAAACCGAGACAGGGGACTTTTACTCTCACACACCTGGAATTCTGTACTGAAGTCGGACTGCAGATAGCGCTGTCGATGTGCTGATTCGGTCCACACGTCCAAAAAAGGATAGTCAGTATCATAATCCTTATCAGTGCATCTGTGTTCTTGCACGGAGGAAATGGCACTGGTTTAGATGTTCCTTGCTGATGTAGGGGGACATTCATGAACATTTAGTACAATGTATGGGCATTGGTCATTGGCCCCCTATGTGTTTGTTATACTGTGTACTGAAAAAAATACACTCTTTTCTTTAAAAACAGTTTAGTTATCTATGAATAAGGAATTCAGGTATATGATAACAGCCACTCCGCAGTATTGATCCATATGTTTCATGTCAGAATCAAAGCAGTCATTTTAGCTTTCAATCTTCTGCTTCATGGAATCAGACTATTGAAGACCTATACATGCATCATCCCCACTGGACATGAGCCAAAGGGAAGTAACTGGAAAATTGCTCGGTCAGCAGGTTTTTATGGCCAAAGGGATGAACGGTTGAACCAGTTGTGTGCATGTGTGTGCATGTGTGAGGTCGTGTCTGCGCAAATGGAAGAGGCATTTAAGTGAATGAGGTTGCAGTGAGATTGGTGCTCAGCTGCTCTAACAATTGACCTAAGCAGCACTAGAAATAAAATAAAAATACATTTATAAGTGCAATATGTGTTCTGTCAAAAAAAAATGATGTTTTTTTTTGAAATCCTTACTGGCAAAGTACAAATTCAAGAAGCCATCAACAAACAAGATCAGTGACTAGTGTTGTTCCAAACATTATCACTGTTAGCCAAGACAAAAGCTATACGGAATGGCCTTTTCCCCCTGTTAAACAGCACACAGAATAATAAATTCACCACATTGTAAAGCATTCTCTCCAAGTCTAAACGGTCTATTTTCTGTTAGCTCTGCAATATTTGACACTTCTTTCTTGTATTTGCCTCTAGGGATGTGCTCAGACAGACGGTCCTGACACATGCGCTGTGAAGAAAAATGCCTCCAGTGCACTTTGCTTCCTCAGGTGAACACAAAACTTTGTTTATTGACCAAAACCCTCAAGTCCCAGTGTGTTGTCAAGTCTTATTCAAATATTTAATTTTATGTTAGTAATGTTAATGCACCCATTTGAAGCTGTTTTATCATGATAATCCAGACACAAAGGCAATCTCTCTGTATCATTTCTAAGCCATCTGAAAAAGTTGTCACGTTGATTGATTTCCCCTCACGGGGAAATTCAGGTGGTTAGCTGATATAGACAAAAAAATAAATGCACATGAAATCATGAATTTTAAAATCTAGTTTAAACTTACTAATAACTCCTCTTAAACAGTATTCTTCAATCGACAGCAGCCAGGATAAAAGGTCCACAGCTTGCGCACAGCTTGTGAAGAGGCCCTCTTTCATGCGTCAGGCCAGCTGGAAATATTGGCATGATAGTCACCCTCTTGGCATTGTGGGCACAGGTTGGTCTCCTCATACAGACCCACGAGGTTGAGGTGGTGCTAGGGATGTGTCAGCCCTGAAGACCTGGCAAATCTCCCTGACCAGGCTCTGAAAAAAAAAGCTAGGTGTACTTTGAGTAGTGGTGGATCTCCCTCAGAGCCAGTGTGCCAGGCGTGTAGTAGTGGGGCTTCTTAATTTTTCCGGTGGCGATGATACTTTGTCTTACTTTGAGGAGGGCTTAGGCCAATTTCTCTATATGAAACCAGGAATGCTGTATGAGCATGATAGCCCATTCTTCGGAAATTAGCCTTCCTCAGTCGGACTTATGCACAGGCTGCTTGGTTTGGTCCATCTTCTCTGCTCTGGTTTAGTGCAAAACCCTGAATACTGTTTTGGAGGAAATTTTACAGATGAAAAAGGAATAAAGAAAACTTTGTAAAGCACAAAACAAAAACTGTTTCAGGCAATGGTCGTTGGCAGATGTGGTAAGGTTTGATAAGGAACCTGCCCCCTTCCAAACATGTTGGGCCATCAATGAAGAAGTTGGCAAAGTATAACGGTTCAGAGAAGTCCATTTATTACAGCTACTTCTAACAGGATCAAATGCAGTACGTCAGAAACAATCAACTCAAGAAATCCAGTTGCTCCCCTTCCCGATGTCGGCAGCAATTCTACGTCACCATCAACAATTGTTTATCTCTGTTCAAACCACTTCAAGAATATATTTGTAGAATTTACACATGACCAAATAAATTGCTGCATCCTGGTCATGTCAGAGTACTTCAATCGTTCTCCTTCATGGATTTCAATTTTCCAGTTATGCCGACAATTCTTCGTTATACCTCTTCACCTAAGTCTTCTACTGTTTAGTAACATATCCAGGTACAGGATTACTTCAGCTAAGTCAGATTTGTATGAGTTAATGAACCTATGAGGAATTCTAAGCTGGGAATCTTGATTGTCAAACCCTTTGAGTTGGGATTTCCAAGGACAGCAATCTAGTGTTAAAACTCAAGAGCATCTAGAACTTTTACTGACCGCGGGAGATGGACTTCCAAATTGACTTTGTTCACTTTTCATTCACACAGTTTTACTTCCACCGCCAACGGACTAAAAGGACAGGCTTCACAGTGCCGTCATTAAATGTATCAGTGCAATGTAACTTGTATTCATCTCTGGCCGTTTGTACTTGTTTTGTTTGGTTACAGTAGATATGAAACCTATTGATTTCCAAGCCAATGCTTAGTTTTGGCAGTGCTCGGTTTGGTATGACACCAACGTGTTTTGGAGACATGTATGGCTTTGTATGTTAAAAGAAAGATTTAAAAATTAATTCTATCAATCACTCAGTGGAGTGATTTTAACACTGGAGTTATGTGTTCGCTCCCTTCCCTTTTGGTGCCTGTTAAGATCCTTGCTGCTGTGTTTGGGATGAGTAAGGATTAGTGATGGGCATTAATTCATTTGAAGACCGCTGTATCTAGTTAGATTTTGAAATGTGCTTTTGAGCCAAAATGGAAGATCGTCGTTCTAAATTTACCTGTGGATTTTGACTGTGTTCTTTGTTGCTTCAAAAATCTGGATCACCAACAGATTTATCAGTACTTTTCACATATATGACTCCTCATAGACACTATATAGAGACCACCATCCCCATTCTGAAGTACATATGGTGGGGATGTCATGCACCAGGAAGAACTGTCGCACTTAGATACCGTGCATCAAGTTACAGCACGGGGAAGTATTGAAGCGTGTATGCACATTTCTGATTTTAACTGTAGCTATACTTAAATATACATTTAATGCATGTAAAACATAAAGTTATTATAGTAAATTGTTGTTGCATATGACAGGTTTACTTTGGACCACCATGCAAAAGAAAATGTGTAATTTCCAAGTCTGGATAAGTGAAACTACAAGCCCATGAACACATCTGATAAAAGATCATGTGTGAATAGAGAAACATCACCTGTAGATAGTGAAATTAGTCATTACACTCCTGGAAACTGATGACATTTCTTGTGAATATATGGGGGTAAATGAGCTGTTTCTCGTCTGCACCTTCAGGCAGATTTGAGTGGGTGTGTTTCTGCTCCCACTGTGCCATCACGCTCCTCTCTCGCCCGCAATGCTCCGTGACAGTTCTACTGCACTGGCTTTCTGGAGCAGGAGGATGCGCTCAGTTTTGGATTGCTTCCAAGTGCTTTTTTTGTTCTTTTGCTATGATTTTTTTCAAGTGAAATCTAGTGTTCCTGCCTTATTGCAGCATTACGACAACGATGTGTGATAGCAGAGACTTGGTCTGGGTGATCGCAGTGAATGAGAACGATGTAAAAAGAGATATTTATAAGGTGGCAAAAGCTGTCTGTCTGTGTGCGTGTCAGACTTGCAGAGAGTTGACAGGTGGCTGCAAAGGAGGTGCCCATCACTGTCTGTCCTTGCCCCAGCACATAAAAGAGCATGTGTTTCTGTGGCATGTCTCTACAGTCCAGGACCCAGAGAGCTGCTTCCTGTGCCACACCTTCATTCTGCACCTTTTGACCTCACAATATGCTCAATATGACGTAACCCTGGATCCTCCCTCTCACATTTATAATGCATTTAAAATCCAGCCAAGCATTCAACACCAAACCTGCGCAGAGGAATTGATGTTCAAGGCAGCAGTGTCCCCAAACTCTATTATTGCTCAGACTAGCCTTTCTTCACCCCACTGCTGTTTTCTAATTACTTGTGCTCATTTTGCTGTGCAGTGGAGGATTTCCCTGTGAATTCCCACTGGCAAACAGGAATTCCCCAAGAGAAAAACAGCCGCCAATTATGTAACATGACCAGTTCGGGCATTGAATGATTAACAGTAACTTTCATTTATAGTTTAATCTATTTTCCTTTTGATGGTATTATCATGCTAATATGGGTTTATAAAACAGCAGGTGTGGAAACTGAGAAGCTAAATTTGATTGAATTGATTGCCTTTTAGATTTGCTATGCATGATTAGGCTTCATGGTAGGTGTCAGACACAACTCTGGTCAAAGGAGCGCATTATTTTGTGACTCTTTGCGGTTTGAACAACATTTTTCAACTACAACTCATGTCATTGGAAATTATTCTTTGACATCTTGCATTGTGATGTTTGTTGATGGCTATCATTGGGAGCGTTGTATTTCACAGGGCAGTGAAAGAATTAACCCCAGGGCGGTCAGTTTGTCCATCACTCACTGCCTCTCTCTCTTCCATCTCCAGGGCCGTGATGCCTTTACGCATTGCAGCAGTCCACGCCCCCCTCAGTCTGGGACTTCAGAGGTGCTTTCCTGGTTGATGGGTGCGCACACATACTGCACGCACGCACACGTACACGCACGCACACACACACACACAACATGCGCACACCCACAAAAAACAATTCCCCCTCTCTGCTCTTTTCCCAGTCTCTTGGGACCCCTGTTAGCAACAACTGGTGTGATGGACAGAAGACTAATATCCAAAGCTAACCGCTCACTCCTCCCTCCGACTCCATACAGCCAGCTGTCACAAGGCCTTCACGGTGACAAATACAGCGTGACACAAGGGGAAAAAATATATAAACATATAGAAAATGAAAGATAGGGAATGTAGAAACACACAGTGATAATAGCATAATTTTCTTCTGAAGAAGGATGAAGGACTATATAGTGCGTTTGATCACACCATAATGGTGCCTCAAGCAATAATATAGTAAATTACAATTTGAAGTCACATGGAAGGTGAATTACTAAATCTAGGTGGATATTACAGTGATACAGTGATATTACAGTGTACTGCCCCATTTAGCTTCGCTTTGGCTTATTGTGATATTGTTATTTATGCAAATGTATTACGTGATTGCTGCAGAATTATTGCAGGCATATATTTTTCAGTTTTGGGCTCATTTTCTTGTTTAACCAATGCTGCATACTTTGTAACAAAATTAAATGTAATATATAAATATAGTACAAACATACAAACATGGAGAATGCCTGGATTATGAAAGCCGGATATTTAAGCTGCTTTTGCACCATTGTGTTTAAAGAACCCCCCACAACCTGAGGGCTACGTACCTGGCACAGCCTCTGAATAATCTTGCCCTCTGCGCGTCAGTTCACAGCTTCAAAGTGACTGTGTCCCGGTGGCTTTCAGCTGACATTCTGCTACCTTCACATTATATCACATTGAATGGGATTTTAGACTGCTCCATTTTGTCCCGCTGCAGTTATACTTCTGCAATCAGGAGCAAATAGAGAGAGCTCCAGTCTGAACGCTCAGAAGTCAGGGGTGTCTGTTCAGGTGAACTGCAAATGCACATGCCTCGTGTTTTTGCTTCACTGAAAATATCCAATATTTTTCCTTTTATGTGGAGAATATGTATCAATTATAATGCAACATATTTCCTCTAAGAGGTAGGTAATATTGACAAAGAAATGGCAATTCAAACAATACAGCTAGGTACTGCATCAAAAGGCATTCCAAAGGTTCATCTCATGTGATTAACTTATTTCCCAGTAATATACATCCCACCAATTATATTCAATTGTACTGAACGATATCAATGTGAATGTTGTTTGTTGACTTCTTCTATAGACATCCACAGATGCATTAGTGGCTTTAAATGGTGGATTGTTTAAAAGAACCCATATGAGATTTCTGTTAGATTAAATAATAAGTACTTTTTTGACATGAGTACATCCACAATTCT